ATATATATATATATTCTTAATAGTCAGAATATCTACTCTCTAAAATGCAGTTGAGGTTTTGTAACTGCATGATGTATAAATACCCATTAAGGGCATCTGTGAAAAATGTTCATCCATAAAGACAAACCTTATGGATTGCTCATGTGGGTGTAACTAAACCTACTTTGGAAATAAAAAAGAAAAGTCCTTGTATACAAAGATTATCATGCTACACCACTATGCTAACTATGTTCATTAATCATTTGCTGTCCAGCAATACCTTTGATTCCAGATAAGATGGGTCTAAGTATAGCATGGGTGTAGGCTTTTGCTTTTTTTTATTAAAGCAGATGTGGCTGTTATTTTTGCAGCCCACAAATGCTCTTAATATCTCACTAATACTCCTAGAAACACCAGCAGACTTTTTGAGGCCTGCTGTTGAGCCCATCTCTTATGATCATATTGATTTTACAGCTGAAATTAGATGTCAGTGAAACCACACAAATCATTTTTGGTCCTAGACTTTCAGAATACAAAAAAATATTTGAATACACATTTTTTTTTTTTTACAGAAGGTGCATACCACTGAAATGGCAAAGCCATGCCACAGTTTTGATTTCCAGTTCCAGCTCCATAAAAATACAAGCTTTGAATTAAAATAGAAATAGACATTTTTTTTTGCCCTGTGATCATCGTTATGCAAGCAGCTAGCATCCATTTTGCAACCACTGAATAACATTTTCCTTTTTATCACTGTAATTCTGTGTCTGTGTTTCATTGCTCACTTTGTTTTTCTTCTTTTCTCTTTGGTCAGTGCTTCTGATCTTACCCATGACTACAAACTCTCTTCACTCTCCAAGATCACCCTACTCATCACATTCTACTCATCCGCTTGTCCTTTCTGTGCCAGAAATCTTCTTATAGATGGCCCATATTTAGCTACCTATCCCTGTAGATTATGTAATGATGTAGAGTTTCCAGTGACCCTGGTACACTTAAAATCAACATCAAATTTCCATCAAAATTTAAATGAAAAAATGAAAACAAAATCTTAAATATATTTGAAACTGCCCATTATACCAACTGCATAAGATTACAATGTTAACTTCATTTCATTTTATGTCTCATTGCAATGTATTTATGCTCATTTCATTTATTTATTTTATCTTAACACTCTTCTTTATGTTATTGTTTATAATTTATTTATATGCGTGATTTCATAATCCATTCCATTCAGTTGAAGTGTACTGTTTTCCTCAGGTTACCCAACAATCCAAGTGGAACTGGAAACTCCCACTGGCTTGCGTTATGTGCCTCCCTCCCCCCTACACCAAGATGATTTCTTTAGCGATAACTCTAGCATAGAGTCCCCCTTTAGAACTCCTAGTAGACTGAGTGACGTGTTAGTAACTCCACAGGGCAATGGAAACTTTTCAGCTGCTCCACCTGTGGTGGCTGCAGAAGACACGTCACTAGATGACAGCAGACCTGACTATTTAATTCACAGTCCTGGTGCTTCATATGAAATGGCCATTCATCGGGTTAAATTTGAAGATGTAAAATTGCACGATGAACCCCAACATGAGGGTAGCTACATTGAAGTTGAAAAGGCTGCTCAAAGAGGAGTGAAATCTGAGGAGCATGAGAGAGATGCATCTGGTCCTGAGGAGGCGATGACCGAAGAAAGGCTGAAATTGCTATTTAAGCAGCTTCACCTTGAAGAGGTGGAGTCAGAGGAGATGACTGAAGAGAAGGTGCAGGCTATCCTCAGAAATGTTCAACAAGCAGAACAAGAACTTTCTTCAATTGCAGGTTGGCACACAGAAACAATGAGCACCCAGGCAGACCATACAGAGCGGAAAATCAGCAGCGAACTGTTGGAAAGATTGGATGACAGGTATGTAGTGTGCCTTGTGCTAAAAATAAATAATTTTGTTCAGTTATAACATCATGTAATTGTTATAACATCTGTATATCTAGAATTCAAGTGAGTATTTTTCGTTCAGTGCCACTTTTCTAGCAGATTTCATATGTAAGGCAGTTAAATAATTAACTTTGTAAATATTACCTGTTACCTATTTTGCTCAGTTATGCTTTTCCTCGATTCTTTAAACTTCCATTGTGCCCACTGGGAAATGACAAACTTTTTATTGTGAACATTTCCTTGGAAGAGAGAGTTTCTGATATATATCACCCCCACTCTCCAAGAGAGAGTATTCTGCACTCAATTTTGGAGCTGGAAATGATTGTAAAAAAGCCAACTACTGCCATTGTATCGAAAAGTTCTCTTAGTGGCTTTTAATTATATTATTTAGGTCAGCAATGTGGATGAGTGGCAGAAACAGGGGTGACTCCCAGTATGTGAAAGAGATAGCACGGGCTTAACTGATAGCAACAAATGCGATTCAGACCTGCCCTGAAAAGTATATATTGTATTCGTTGCTATAAGTTGTATGTAAAAGTGGTTTTGTAACTTAAGCCCAACAAACATTATCTTGCATCTGGGCCTGATAGCTCAAAAGGGCATTTCTGAATGTATCATTATTGGATGGGAAGAATGTTATTTTTGTCCCAGTTTAGACACACAACTACAGTTTTGTTCTTTATGTTGTAGCCATGAGACTATTACCTCATACCTCAAAGGAGAAGTAGGAAGGCTGGAATCGAGTGTCAGTCCTTCTGAGTCTCTAACAGAAGGTAAGACCAGTTCCAGCACGCTAGAGAAGGACCCAGTGAAAGTGAACGAGAAACAGAAACCAAAATCACTTCAAGGAACAAGTGGAAGAGGAGAGCAGAAGACGGTAATAGGAGAGCATAAGAGCTCATTACCTGTTAGTGCCAAAAGGACTGGCTTGGATGAAGGCAGATCCAGGCCCCACTCCCATGCAGATGAGGGAGCATCTGCAGAAAAGGTATAGTTACAACAGAATTACCAATATAGTTTTACATTGCTATTATTTGTACACAAGATAAATATTTGATCTTTATTTGTCAAAATACAGTAAGTTGACAGCTTTACCTTCTTAAGGAGCTTGTCTTCATCTTGCTGCGACTGGATTGTGATCACAATTGAATATAAAATGGATTGAAAGAATAATCCCATCCAACAGTAACCAGTTCCATGTTGTGATTTAATTTGATTACACCTATACAGTGTTGTTGCCTATCCAAAACAGTTGCTGAGAAAACATATGTTGCCATTCAGACCACATGGTTCAAAAAGAATGTGAGGGGCATATATCCTATGCTCAACCATGTTTCATTTAGTTGCCTTGTAGATCAACAAAATGTATTCTTGTGTGTGTGTAGGCAACACATACCTAGCAATAAAGCTTCAAAACTGCAGATTTTGTTAGAAATTGCCTATTGCTAGTGTTTGGAGTTTTCTATTATACTGGAAAGATCTACAACTACTCATAGACAAAAAAAATCATATTCAAATGAACAGTTATTTTGCATGTCTGTTTTTCCGTTCTGTACGCGGAAGCATTAGTTCATTATTGTCATTATTTTTTAAACCTATGACAGTTCTTGGCAGAAGAAATTGTTACTGTTTGTGGAACGATTATTGTGCACAAGTCTTGTCAGCACTGTCATAGGAAGCCTAAAATCAACAAATGTATTTTATAGGCATTTTAGGGAATTGTAAGATGTATAAAAAAGTTGAACTGGTTCTGCTCATGCGCTCTTACAAGCAAATAGGACAATGCATTTAACCTAGATGCACTTGGTTTGTTTACATATTCTGAACTATTTCTTTTCTGGGTCATAGTTTTAAGCTGTGTTTCATATATTTCATAACGGTAGTATTGGGCATGTTGAAGGAAAGATGTAGCAAGGCTAAACTGAGCTGTCTCTTAGTAATAGACACTATAGGGTGCCAGATGATACCCTTATCAGTGTCTGTGTCTTCACCGAGGTAGACAGGATGTGGAGAGAAAACGCACACGAGTCACATCTCACATGTGGCAAAGCCTGAGTGACCTATTGTCAGGTCTAAGCACTGTTATGTGAGGGATATGTTCCTCAGTTATGAAAATAGTGGTTCTCAGGAAGTTTGTGATTGTATAGGAACTTTTACAGGCTTTGGTGGCACTTTCCGAAGAGGCAACCTGAATGTAAAATGTATCATCTGATTATGCTACCTGTTATCTAGAGGAGGAGAGCCTAGTTTAACAATTTTAACAAGAAACCTCGGGTTCAATTAATTAAACAATGTCCTTATTATTTTGATAACCTTGGGTGGGCTAGTACCACATCCAAAATACTAACATAATTAAGAGAGATTCAGAAGAACCAAACTGGACTTTTAAGGTACTTAAGATCAAATTTTGTTTTCTCTTTATTATTAAAACTAAGTCATCTTTATTAAAACATACAGAAGAAAAATATACAAACATCAAAGTCCTTGTGCACGGAATGCCTCGAATTTATGTTTGATTAACATAAAACCTGCTACATGAAATACAAAAAAACTATTGGCTCTGAATTAACTGCAGACATTGGGCCATTTACTAAAACCTGTTACTGAGATGGGTGCTGCTGTTAGTAATAAGATTATGGCAAATGTGAGATGTAGAGCCAAAGGAAATCTCACCGCTCCAATTCCTTGGCTACCATCAGGATTCCCCAGGTGCTGGTCCAATAGGTGTGTCTCCACCTTGGAATGTAGCAGTATGTGAACAGACCGCACTATCAAGAGAATTTCAATACTGCAGACTTGAAAATTCACAGCAAATCCAGTATAACAGTGAATAAAAGTGTATAAAGCAATAAATGCCAGCACTGCACACCCCCAACCAGCTACAACCTCTCGCATGTTTCACCTGAAGGCTTATTCATAGAGGTCGTAAATGTGAGATGTGTTCAAAATCTTTGGGCTTACCAGGTCAGACTACAATGCTTTTCCTTTATCTACTACACACATATTTGACATCTAGCTACAGGTGTTCAGTAACAGATAATCATATTCAGTGTATAAATAGTATTTGGGCAGAAATGTTTCATGTTTAAATGTTCAGGCTGTTAATGTTTGACTTTGAAAATCAGCAAAACATGGAATTTGACAAGGAGTGGTCAGACTTCTGCATACGATTGTGTAGTATGACCTTAGATTACAGAAGTCAATTTCTTTAAAAGGAACCTGTCATTTTTCAGTCGAGATTCTTAATTTATTACTTTCACTATTAAACCATACAGATTTAAAGTACTTTTTTGTTTTTAATCAGGTAAATATGAAAGTTTCACATATACTACTGTCAGCCAAACCTAACTTCAAATTCTTTTGTCCTTTCTATAATGCTGATCCAGTGGCTTTGGTACTTTGAGTCATTGACCCTAAGGAAATATTGAGATTAGAAGTTCTGATATAACTCACTGCATGCTTGTTCCAGGATTCAGAATGAATAGAGGCCAAAAACAGCCAACCAGTTAACATTTTCAAAAGGGGCAATGCCAGCCTATAATTTCTATAAGCACACGTTTCCTTGAAATGTCAGATAGTAGCTGTTGAGCCAAAAAAAGAACTAGAAGAGTCATAGATGGGACTAACTTTGTTCCCCTCGTCTTAGGAAACTGCAATACTTTAGAAGAAATTAAAACCTTTTTTTAACTATTTTTATATGTAGCATGTACCTTATGCTCCTAAGTAAAACCACCAATTTCAAATCCTTGTTCCTGCCAAGAGCAAATCGTTGGTGCCACCTTGCCATGCAGGCATGTCACAGAACCACACCTGCCATGAGCACTGGTGTTAGAGATGATCAGTGGGTGTTGTGCCTATCTACATCAGTCTATAGGTTTGTAGTCCAGCCACAGACTTTACACTCTGACAATGCTGCATATCATTCCAGACTATGGAATGAAATTACATACAGGCAGCCAGTATTAGATGTCCAGGCATTGTTTACAACTAATAGCAGGGGGCAATGTGCATTTGTCGGCAAGCTCTGCTATATGTAGAATTTTTATTTAAGACCACACCCACTTTAACCAGTGGACTAACTGAGTCTTCTAGAAAGCATACACCTACCACTTAGTGCCACGGCTGTGCCCTGTTATATTGATTACATAGATAATGATTTTATGCAGGTAATTTAAATAAAAAACATACAGAGTATATTGCTTTATACAGTAAACGTGTAAACAAAAAAAATGTTCAACAAAATGGAGCAAAACCAATTAGGGTTTTCTATATAGCCAATGTAAAAGGTTACCCATTTGACAAAGCTAGGAAGGGTGCTATTGCATATCGTGAGCAGGCTTTAAAATGGTGTATTTTTCCAGGCCGGTCCATCACATTGGAAGAATGGAGCGCAGAGCAGAGCAGAGCAGAGCAGACGCCATGTACTTTCCCTATTGTCCATTCCTACCTTTTTCACTGCTGTGTTTCTCTTCAGATCTGACAAATTCCACCGGGGGGTGCTTTAGACAAGCTTTTGTACAGCTCTTAAAGCAAATTTCTTACATTAGCACCCCCTAGCTGATCTCTTATGGTACAATTGTACCTTCCTACAGTTTTTCTATAGTAAGTTCCAATGGTCCCCCTCAGTGCTGCCCACCAAGTTAAGAACTTTCATTCAGCCCCAATTCAGCAATCTACAGTGTGTAGCCGAGCTTAGAGCCCAAATGGCTAGTTCCTACTGCACATTTGCTACACATCCCAATTCATTCCTATAGGAAAGTCATACTCGAAGTGGCCAGCATTTTGGGAACAAAAGTTTTCCTGACCATTTTTGAGAGAGAGGATGTGCGACTCTCAGTGGGATTGCATGGTAAAGACCGATGGACCAGGGCAATCAGGGGGTAGGGGGAAGCCTATTATAGGACAACTGTACAAAGGTACAGTTGTCCTTTAAAGTAAACCTAAGCAATTGAGATTTAATTAGAAGTTATTTTAAAGTGAAACTTCTAAAAAAAAGCCTGTAGATCTCCCTATTGGCAAGTGAGACTGCCCATCACATTAAAGGACAAAGATGTGTGTATAAATTCAGGTGCCTATATCTTTTAATCTACTGATCATTCTGATATGCAGTGTTTTCTGAAAGTAAGGTCTACTTATACATGTTATCATTAAATGCCAAGTCTAAATATGCCACTTTTTTGACATGCCAACTTTAGAGGCTCTGTCTACCCTAAGAAAGTGTGATGGTGTTTGCCCCCTGGTTCTTCAGATTCCTGATTCCAGATTCCATTCCTCAAGTTCCAGACATCTTCTATTTCTCAAGGGTTTTTTTGCCAGGATCTCTTACAAAAACTTTTATATGCCCAGATAGGCCCCTTTGGTTAACAGAGGCAGCAATGCAGAACACTCTATACACTTGTATAAATTAACACAATAGTAATAATCATGTGATGATAGAAATCTTACCTCTGAGATCAAAAGTACTTAGAAGTATTCCATGTTTGCTGTAAGATGTCTTTATATCCACCGAAAGCAATTTTTAAAATTTTGTGTGGACTTCATCCCAAGCAGCCATTTCTCAGTGTTCCTTATCATATTAAGTCTGTTGGCATTAAGTCTAGAAAGATATATTTACAAAGGGGAACAGCTAGGGCCAGTTCATGAGGTACAGAATGCTCTACTCAAATGCATCTTCATATTTTTAATTTTCCGAAAAATTATACAACTTCAGTAAGAAAAAGGAGCAGAATATAATTTTGTTGCTTTTGAGTAGGTGTTTCTGGAGGATATAGTACTGCAGCTCTTCATCAGCAGGTGAGATTGAGGATAAGGGGGGGAGCTTCTCAGGGCCCTTAAGAATGGGGGGCCTTGGGAGATTGGTGCGTGTGCGTGTGTGTGTGTGTCCCGACGCCAACCATAGGAATAGCTGACACAATAGAGCACCAGAGCACCAGAAAGACCATTCTAAAGTCTGTAAGTCTGTAAGTAGCTATTCCTAACCATAGGAATAGCTGACACAATAAAGCACCAGAGCACCAGAAAGACCATTCTAAAGTCTGTAAGTATTTTAAAGAGAAACTGTATTGATTGGGCTGATACAGGAAACAAGACATCCCGTGTTTACCTATCATAACTCTGCAGGCTTTCTTTTATATTTCCCCTTTTTTTAGTATTACTTAATTTTCCTGAGCTTTAGCTGGAGTATCAAAGATTGAGGCTGCCTTTCATCTGCCTGACCTCTCACGCTGCACACTCAAATGTTAGGAGACACTGTGTGAGGTCAGACAGATGGTAGGCCATGTCTGTCAAACTTCAGGTTATCTCTGGGCTCAGCAATTGAACCTCCTGTATTTATATATTTTCAGTTAGTAAGCAAAAGAATCTACAGTTTGGCTGATGGTAGGGTTAAGCACGTATATTAGCACCTTCTGTGAAGCTTTGAAGTATCCATGTCCTTCATGGATAGATAAAAATATTTCTTTTTCCTTTAAGTCTGCTGGTAAAACATGCCTAAAATGCATTTATCAGGATTCTAGTGGCAGTGACAGTGAATATGAGAGTGGGTCAAGCTCAGATGAGGAACGAAGGATCACTACGAAAATTACTCGACGGAGATTGATATATAAGGTACCAAGTATGTCTGATTGCCAGCGGAGATCCCAGCATGGATTTTTTTTTGTGATTGCCTTGGACATTTGCTTTTTTCTAAAACCCATTATGTATTTATATATGCATAAATACCTAAGTTTTCTATATTTAAATAAATTCAGAAGTAGATGCTTTTAAGCTAATTTAAAGCAGTGTAAACAGCCATGGTGCTTAGTAACCCATAGCATGCAATCAGATACGAGCCTTAGATGCTTCCAGGGTATAGATCAATAAAAGCTGATCTGAGATTGGTTGCTGTAGTGTAGGCTATCACACTATTGCTATTTGCATGTTCCTCAGTAAGTCTGCATTAAGCCATTTAATAATATAATGGCTTGCAGATATGCTTGCCCACCTCCTGAAGCAGTGTTTACTTTGTGCTGACTTTGAAGTTAATAGCCTTTTTAGTGGGGAAACGTGATATTTTTATGTATATACGGACCTGCATTTTCAGTTCCTACAGAGTACACAAAATCAGTTCATAGCTTCAGCTTTTATAAATCAGTTCAATATCAGGAAAAGAAAATACTTTTAGATTACCACATGTGTCAATGAGAATGTTGAGGAAAAAATAACTGGAACATATTCGGGTATATTTGTGTTCAAAGAGCATGGCCTAGTCTAACTGACCCCTTAATGTTTTCAGCAGTAATGAGTTATGGGCATAATCACTCATTCCTACGAATAACAGCGTGCCCTTATCCTTGCCTTGTTTTATTCCACAACCATTTGCTGTGAATTCCATGCAGTCCAATAACCTCTTTACTCGGATACTCTATATGCTTGTATTGCTATCTTTTCCCTATTTTGTTGTAACAAGGAAATTTTAGCTGCCCCGTTGTCTCAGGTTTATAAGCCAAAACCTATAGTTGTGCTCCATAAAAAGAAAGGAAAAACAGGAAACAAGAAATGCCTCTTGTTATTCTAATCTGCAAGCTGTTAGGTTATGTTAAAAACATTTACTTAATTCCATTTGTCATATTGCATGAAAATAGTAGACGATCCGTGGGAGGATCTGTCACTTTTTACATTTTCAGTTAGTTTTCAGTTTAAAAAAAAAAAAAGAACAGCAGATTGAATTGATTGTGATTACTGCAAGATTATTTCTATGTGACCAACAGCGAGCAAACACCTTCATGAAATCATCATGGGAAAAAAAGAACTAAAACAGTTTCCTCTTTTTAGGATTCCCTACATTCATTATTATCAAATCAGGTCTCGGGGTCACTAGCAGTACAGACTTTCTAGTTCCATATGCACTTTTACAGGTGGCATAACATGTCCAAGGGCTCGTTCAGACTGCGGCCATTCCATTTCAGGCACTTGACAGTCGTTTTGGCCAAGTGCCCTGTTAACTTGTTAAATCCCTCATTCAAGCCTTAGCTTTTGTTGTGCATTTCCCCGAGGCGTGACAACACTCAACATGAAGAATCCTATTATTTTCAATGGTGTCTGTTCACACCTAAGCATTGAGTCACTTGTAACTCAAAAATGTACATGAGCTTTTTTGGGGGAAGAATCGTGTGTTTTTGTCTTCAATTAGAGTGCCTTAAAAAGTGCGTTTATAATGGGATTTTGTGCATGTCATCTGTCTCCTCCTCCTAGTAACTATCTTTCCATTGGCTAAAACAAAAACGCTAAATTCTGAGCGTTTTCCTTGAAACTCCTAAAAAGAAAGCTTCAAAATCACCTGAAAATGCTTGTGCTCAAGTGTGAATAGGGGCTACTGAACCAAATAGCTTTATTCATTTTTGCGACGTCCAAAACATTGGTAACATCTAGATTTCAGGTACATTTTTGTTCTAGCCTTCTCGGTGGTCCAGGTACAGGCAGAACGCTGTCAAAACTGTAAATGTTATCTCGAAACGTTCTTGTTTCCAGATATATGTAAACCATGAGTTTTTTTTTTTTACGAACTGAAAGGAGAAATATAGACCTAAAAAATACTATATTACCTTGTTACGTCATCCTCATGTTGGTGGAGAGACATCATTCACCGAATACTGTTTATTTCTTTTTTTCCTCTGAAATAGTATGGACATTGGAGATAACACCATTGTGCATCAACTATTTTTTTTACTAATCCTCTGTAGTTAACGGGTCTTACAGTAAACATCTTTTTAACAGAACCAAGTGTATCAGATGAGCATGCATGTAAAATGCACTTTTTTGGGGTCAATTGGCCGTTGTGTGACATCTTTGTTACTCCTATCCCTCTATCTAACAGGGTTTTTATATTCCACTTTGACCTCTAAGTAAGCAAGGATATTTTTTATGTAGGAGAAAAAGAAAGAAGAAAAAGATGTATTATTACATTCTACGGATCAGCAGCAAAATATGAATCTTTGGTGAATTTAGCAGTTGTTCACACTTGATATATTAATACAAATTTGAGTGGACAGAGGGAGAAGGATCCCATCACTGACCTAAGTGAAAAACCGTTATAGTCTGATATATGGTTTAAGGTACCCATGTAGGTGAAGATGACTGGCAGAAAAGGCTTGTTTTGGAGCCTGCATAGGTTTCCACCATCATTTCTTCACATAATTATCTGCTTTGATATTGTATGGATGGGATAGAAGATGCAGTGATTTGCAAGTTGCATTAAGCGCATATGCAGATCTAAAATAACTGTTTCTGTTGTCTCATAAAATATAGAAATCTAGGACCTGTCTCAACTGTCCCTGTATTTGACAGATTTAATCATAACAGCAGATGGTCATTTGTTTGCAGATTAAGCCTCCCTCTTCTGAGCAGGAGAATGTATGTACTTTTAGTTGTCCCTAAATCATTTTTGTGTCCAGGATCCCCTAACCACATCTGCATACAGCAAACAGTCCTACTTCAGACCTCAGTACCCTGCTGTCCACTTGTGTTGCCTTTCTTTTGGCAGAAGGTGCAGCTGATTTTAAACATAGATGGTTAGGCTTGCTAGAGGTCCAAAGTTTGCACTTGCAGTTTGCGTGCTGGGTTTATGGGATCTGGGGTCATGCAGAATATGGAGGGAAATAAGGATCAAGCAGGAAACTTTACTTTTGTAAGCACTGGCATAAATATCAAATTCCGTGAGAGGTTTACTTTAACAGTCATTAGGGCTCCCCAAAATATACAATTCTCACTTGTACATGTGCAATATATTGTTACAGCAGTACATCCGTGTTTTTTTAACTTGGCTGTGCTGCCAGATTAACCCTATCTTGCCTTGGCATGCTGCCCTACAGCGTGTTTGCTTTCCTATCCTGCATGTCTGGCGTGCCATGTATAGGACTTAAGCTGTACGATTGACGTAATGCTCTGACGCTCTTTAGGGGGATGCAGTAAAAAACATTCCTGGTGAATCTGTAACGGAAGAACAGTATACAGATGAAGAAGGCAACATCATCACAAAAAAAGTAAATGATCTTTATTGTCTGATGCTGTGATTTCCCAGAAACCTTTGTGTCCATTGGTATATTCCCATGCTTGAGAACTGATGCAGTGCAGTGTTTTCGTGTTTCTTTCACAAAGTCCATACTGGAAACACAGTCAATATTCCTGCCTCTTATAGGTGACACGGAAAGTCGTGAGACGGGTTATGGTTCCACAAGAGAAAAAAGTTGGTGGAACTGTAACAGTTGGGGCAAGTAATTCACCGTGTTGTGCTGGTGTATGCTGTGTGCCTTCCTATATTTGTTCTTTATTACATGTGTATATCTGTTTAGTTTGTTATACCGTAGTCCTGGTTTCTTAAAGTGTGTAGTGTGTAGGTGTGTAGTACAGTGCTGTGTTTTTTTTTGTAGTGCATGACTTGATGCAATCAGCAAAGGCCGAAAGATTTCTAATTGCCACATCATTTGACTAAGCTACTAGTTCCCTTCTATCCTGACCTTTATTTTAATACAATGGGGATGATTTTGCTAGCACATGACTGAAGTTGAAGTCAACAGAGCTGCTCCAAACTAAGTGAATGTTCACTTTGCAAACTGAAAATGCTATGCTCCTTTATTGCCAACCCCAATGTGTTATAATGGGTAAAAGCAGTATAGCATGCTTTTTTCCTATTGTGGAGCTCTTTGAAATACTTTATAAATTTAATTGTGTCAGTGGTGCATCTTAGGTAATGGGTAAGTATTTAAAACACTTGTATTGTGAAGTATATGTAAATCTTAAAGGGAAGTCAAGGCAACATTTTTTAATCTGTAGTAATCCCTACCACCATAACGCCCAAATTTCTGAGATGATAAAAAAAAGGGATACCTTCCAGCACAATGTATTTAGGAAATGGGCACACCCCTGCCACGTCCCCGCTATGGGAACCAATAAGAATTTATATGCCAAAAATAATTGGGTAAACCCAGAATTGCCTTTTTTTTTTTACCAATACTTGTCCTTTATACTGGCTTTTTGAATTCAAAACAAGATAACTAAGAGATAAGATAAAGGTGTTAGTGCAGAATAACATGTTTGGTAGTTAAGTAGAACCTTTTCATAGATATCTTTACACTAGACCAAAATGAGGGACAACTGAAGAGGAAAAAGGGACTGAGGGATTTGGTTCCAAATGAGAAGCAGTCCCTCCAAATGAGGGACATTTGGGAGGTATGCCTACCACTAATCAGAGGGCCTTAACCTTTTTGATTCTTGTTCTACAGCCAGCATTGTTAATATATCAGACGCATGGGGGTTCGTTTACTAAAGGCAAATAGGTTGTTCGATTGCCAAGTTAATTTTTACTTTGTGAATGTGGTGAAAAAGAATACCCAATCACGTTCAGGGAAAATTTAAAAAAAGAGCCGCCCCTCATATACTAAGTTAAGGGAAATTCCTTTGCAAAGTGAACAGCCTGTTTGCCTTAAGTTAATCAACCCCACAATCTCAGTCTGGATCTGGCTAACAGCTTGAAATACCACAACTACTCAGAATGCACACTAGATGTGGACCTCTCCAGTGACATCTCCCTCTGACCATAAAGGCTGACTGACCGCACAGTACTTCTCTGTGTCATTTCTACAGAGTCAATTTCTTCCCAGTGTTATGTAATTATATCATGTTACCATCTAGAGCCTCTGTCATTCCTCCTCCTGAGCTTGTTTTTGAAATAGGAAGCCGGGCAGCAGGATCATGCAATCTGATTTTTTTGTAGACAACTCTGTCACTTTCATAATTAATTTTATAAGCGAAAGGCCTTTAAAACATGTATGGGGTAGGTGGGTGGGTCTTTACTGAACTATGTCTTTATACTGCTGCCTTGACTTCTGCTTTAAAACTGGAATTGAAATATTGAAAGAGGCGTTCTACATTACCTCTATCTTTATCCAATCACCTTTTTAACCTCTTGATAGATAAAAGTACCACATTGTGCATAATGCAGGGTTACATGCAGTCATTCACTGCATTGGAGATGTTTTCTCACTTGTGGATGTGGACGACATTAAAGCTACAGAAAGAAATATGAATGGATCCCTGCTGTTTAAATCATCTTATATATTCTGACGTCTAAACTCTTATATATCATCTTATATATTCTGGCCTCTAAGCCTGTTTGCCTTAAGTTAATCAACCCCACAATCTCTACACATGACAAAACTCTAGCAGGTGGATAATTCTGGCTTATTTCTGAAAGTGGAACACAAGAGATTGTTGTGGTAAATGTAGGCAGATTTTCTTTCTGCCGAAGCTATGCCTAGGATCATGCCGTTGTATTGTATAGTGCCATACATTGTGTTATGCTGTGCTGTAGTTTATCTGTTTATTATCCTGTAAACCTGCACTAACTGGTCTGGATTTTATATGACCGTGTGAGCTATTTGTGTCCACACCCTGTCTGGAGTATTATTGCAGGTTTTTTTTTTTTTTTTATCTGTCTGCTCCATTAAAGTGAATTGAAGCGGAACTCCAGCCAAATGACTAAACACACAGCTAAAATACATAAATCTGAACTATTTAACCTGGCAAAGAATTTGTCATTCTGTTTAGTCACTCTTGTGATTCATACTGTTGTGCCACACTGCATTGCAATTAGAATTACACAACCATTCACTATTGCAGCCCTGCAGAATCTTCCATTCCCCCCCTTCTGGACAGTGAATGAATATCGGCACAGTAGTGATCTCCCCCTCTCTTAAGTTTCTCCCCCCAATCCCTTAATAACCCGATGCATGCTAGACTGAATGCACTGCGCAATTAAATGGTACTTGATTGGCTCATAGTGCAGTATCCCCCTTTTTCACGTTTTTTTTTTCTGGCGTGCAGGGGATTATGGGAAATTAATATAAACATGTTTTCAGGTAGTTATTTTAGCAATATTTAAATGACCTGTAGTGATTCCTGAATGAATCGCAAGTTGAACAAAAAATTGGGTTTTTGTATTTGCCTAGAGTTCCGAATTGAATGTCGCGGGAATGACCATTGTTTACTATATGTATAATATTTGTTTTCATTGCAGAGTGACACATACAAAGTGAAAACCAAGAAGGAAGTCCGACACGTTGAGAAGAAAAGTTTTTCATAATACCACAGTGCTTGAGGTTAGTTATATATAAACTTTGGTAATAGGTTATACATACATCCCCGATGTCCTGATTTTAATGCTATGAATGTGGGTGTAACTTGGGGGAGGCTTATGGTAGAGCAGAGACTTGGCCAAGTCTCTATAGTGCACCACCATACCTGCACTGATGTAGGATTGCTGAAGGCATGAAATCTGAGGTTGTGGGGCAATTAAAGGAAACCTGTACCCAAGGAATGATGTAGGCTGCCATGGCTGAAAATGCAGATTGCCTGACTAACATGGTGAGCTTTAATACTCTGAATCACTGACCTGAAAAAAGTATGCTGACTTTACTCTGAATTCGACTCACTGCATACTTGTTCTGGGTCATAAACTTGGAGTATTGAAACCAGAGAAAACCAGACAATAGTATGTTCAGAAGGAGGGTTAACAATGGCAGCAATTGTTTTTCTCTCAGTTCAGGTTTCTTTTAAATAGTGAAGATGAAGAAATACAGTGACTGACGCTGCCTGACCTCCTTTTGAATATGCTTGTTGCCTGACTGTTCTATTGATTCACATGGTTCAGGTTTTTTTTTTTCTGAATCACTGATCTGGAACAAGTATGCAGATCAGGAAAATTCAATAAACTTTATAAATCTGCTGTATATACTCATTGCAGATCACTGATGCAAGGTATTAAAGCCAAATGATCAGCATGACAGCCAGCGACTAGCATTTTCAGGATAATTTAGCAAAGGCAGCCAGCACAGCAGGTTTGCTTCAGGGCCTATTCACATCTCTGTGAACATTAACGTGCATGGTTGCATGTTGTGTTAAGGAAGTCCATTTACTTTAAATAGCCAAAAACAAGGCAATACTGTACACACTATCATGCACTTAGGTGTGAATAAAGCCTTAATATTGTCAGATAGCAGCTGCTTCATTAGCTACTATTGATCAGGGATGTACGTATTGATCATACAAGACTTTTGCAGGTATTTAGAAAGGAAACCAATTGAAGTTTGTAACCCTGCAATCTGCCAGCCGACGTTTAATTTGCATTTAATTATATGAACTCTACATTTGGCAGTTTTGAAGTTTGTAACCCTGCAATCTGCCAGCCGACGTTTAATTTGCTTCAGATGCTTTTAGGCAACCAGACAATTGAATTTGCATTGCAAATGATCAAACACTGCAGGGCCAGCTCAGAGATATTTTTTGATTGATCTTTATGCCAATTTTGATGTTTTGGTCACTTGAAACTGGGCAAGTTTAGTTAGATTAGTGAAAATCTAATGGAAAGGTCCAATCTTGTGGACAAAACTTTCAGTAAATTCTGTAATGATCCAGAAAAGACACTAATTCAAATTTTCAATCAAGTTCTCAAAATCAAGTCACTTTTTGACTGCAAAAAAAAAATGAACTCAAAGCTACCTGCGTGGATGGAGGAATCTCCCACTGGGCGAAGCTTCAGTATCTTGCTAGTCAGCCCCGCTGGCTCTCAAAGTACCTGAACAATCTGATTGAATGCAGGCATTGTTCAGGTATTTTGACAGCCAGCGGGACTGACTAGCAAGGTACTGAAGCTTAGCCCAGTGGGAGAGTCCTCCATCCACACAGTTTAGAGTAGATGGAGGGATCAGTTGCACTTTTTCCATCTGACCATAGAAAATCTGAAGATAATCTGTAGGTGTATGGCCAGCTTTATATATTAAAGTGCACCCTTATTGCAAGATTTTAATGTGCTTTGATACCTGTTAAAGTCATAATGTTTATCTTTACATTTGTTGTTTGAAAGACAATGTGGTTGATTTACTAAATGCAAATGGCCTGCTCATTTTGTAAGGGAATGTTCCCTTAGTTGACTGAATGCGGTGAAAATGTATTTTGCAAAGAATACCCAATTACGTGCGAGGAATTTTGCTTGCACATAATTGGGTGATAGAAGTCAACAGAGATTCACCTAAATCACCAAGCTAAGGAAACATTCCCTGCAAAGTGAATATCCTATTTGCCTTTAGTAAATCAACCCCAATGTATTAACATTTGATCAAAGGTCTACCAGATCCACATGTCCTAAAACCACATCATAAGACATTATAATGTGTGCTGTCATGCCCTTCCAGTCATTCTTTCATGCAGTTTACTGCACAAAAAATAAATAGCCTGCAGAGACCTCAGATCATTTTGACAGCCTCTACAGCTACATCTCAGCTAGATGCAGATATGAACATGTTCTCAGTGAATCAGTTACCACTTTAGCTTTTTTTTTTTTTTAGTTTTGAATACAGTCTGTTGAAACCTCTGTCGGCAATTTGTAATGTCTATGACCCTATGGAAAGATTTTCGATCACTTTCTGACCCAGTTACTGCTGCCATTTGGGACAAGAAGTGTTTTAATATCTCTTGAATGGGGGACAGCATTTAAAACCTGACAGAGGCACTAGCTCTTCTATTCCATCCAAAACTAAAGCAATTTTTTTGGGTTGCTTTAATTTTTTAAGCCTAACAGCAGCCACTAGTTTTGTATGTACCCCCATCATGTCCTATCTTTAGAGGGGCATGACAGTAGAAACTTGACAGAGACTTTCACATTTTCCCCTCTATCCAAAATAAAAGTTTCTGGCTGAAGTTACATAGTTACATAGTATTTGAGGTTGAATAAAGACACAGGTCCATCAAGTTCAACCTTTGTGTGTCTGTATGTGATTGTGTGTGTGTGTGTGTGTGTGTGTGTGTATATGAATCCCTGTGTGGTCTAGTTTTTAAGAGTACCTGTACCCCTGTATGTTGCGGTCTCTGAGGAAGGTATCTAAATGCTTTTTGAATGATTCAATTCTCTCTGCTACCACTGCTTGTGGCAGCGAGTTCCAGATTGTAACCGCTCTAACTGAAAAAAGCCACTACACCCCTTGTGGTTAAATCTTTTCTCCACCAGTTTTAGGTGGTGGCCTCTAGTTCTTGTTACGGAGTTTACAGTAACAAGTTTATATGTAAGCTTTATATGTTAAGTTGAGCTTTAAGGCTACTAATCTCAGTTAAACAAAAATGTTGCCCTTTTTTTTTTTCTTTAGGGTCAATGGTTACTGCCAGTATTCTGAAGACCATTTCAGAAGAACAGACATTTTAGTGGAAATCACTGAAAAAAATTAAAGTGTGTGTTTGCCGCTTCCACACATTAACCGCATGGGTTTTTTTTAATGCAAGAAACCTTTATTTTAGCATGAGCCAATTAAACAGAGCATGGGAAAATCACCTTCATTCAGATGGGGTCAAGGAGTGTGCAGTTTACAATGCAGTGTATATATGAGGCACCATGCTGGTCCAGTCATCTATCCAAGCATCGGGAGATCCCTGCAACACTATACAAGAAGATGACATTGGTTGGACTTGTGAAAGACATATAATAATCACTAAATAAGCAACAGTTCGCCTTATTTTATCTGAACCCTAAAACTTGGGGTCTAAAAATGCTCTTTTCTTTTATAAATCATCAATTGCTGTAAATAAGTGACACTTGTATAAAATTCTAACAAGACTACAGATCATGTTAATAACGCACCAATCGGATGTCGCTCACATATTCATAAATCCAGATAGACATCTAGTAAGACTTCACAGATGGGTGGGTATACTGGGTGCGTCTTCACAAAATCTTGTATATTATCAATTAAAATGTTTGTATATGGAAAAAAAAATAAACCAAGCCAAGCAGATTTTACACTATTTCTTTAATTCTGCTGCAAGCGTAAATAGTACACAGGACAAAAAAAACAAACCGGGAATGTTGGCTGTCCCGGGTGATTTAATATTTTGGTGCATGTATCTCACCTTGATTTGAATTCAGGTTTTTATTTTCAACTTTACAAAGGTTACGCTAAACAGGAACCAAACAACATTTTAGCTATTCTTCACGCAAAGCCCTTTATTTAATCTTGTCGCTATTGCCAATATACTTTCATGAACTTTGAAGAGAGAAAAAAAATAATATATTCTTCTACAGTAGTGCGTAGTGATAGGCACTAACTGTATTGCTTTTTACGAGGGGTGGGCTTATGGCTTAAGAGGTGAGACTGTGCTTGGGCAAAGCACAACCAACTGAAAAGGAGCAATTAGATCTTAGGCAAGCAGCACGATGTAAAGTCCTTACTGTATTGTGTACTGGCTATAAGATGTAGACTCTTTTCAGTCAAGCCGATCATCTGTATTCATTCTAGCAGTGTAATATTAGGTTGTTAATGCTGCTGTGTTTTAAAGGGCATTTTTATTTGGGTTTTGGTGAAATCTTTTTATTTGTTGATTCTCTTCATATGGAAACAGCATTCATTGATAATAGCTCTAATAACAATGTATGAAATCAAAAACACTGGATGATCTAGTTGATTATTTAAAACAAGAAAAAATAAATAAATTGTGTTTAAAACTGCTTTGCGTTATTATTTATTTAGAGTAGGGAAAGGGATTGATGCTCAGCATGAAGATATCTAAGGCAAAGTAACAGATTAGCTGGATAACCCCCAGATCTGCTGAAGCCCCCGACAAAATCGCTGCGTAAATTCTGTTTATTTCTGAGTCGTATGGCAGAAGTTGGCCCTGGTAACTGGCAACCCAGTGTTGCATTGTAGGCTCACCAACAGAGTATTTCAGAAAGGGTGGAGGGGAGTGTGTAGAAGGCAAGCAGAAGCGGAAGGGGCAGACTATCCAGTGAACATGATACTTGCCATGAATGAGCAAAGCACAAGTTTGCTTTAACAAGAACTTCAAGCAAAGCACAACAGCCAGTCATAGTTATGCACAAACTAGCTTTGTTTGCACTTTATCTTTGGTTGCAATGCTTGGGAAAAAAAGTTGCAGGGTTGTGTTGCAGCACAGGTTTGCCTGTGACATATTTCTAAAGGAACTGGCTAATCTCCGTAGTTAAATAGCAGAGCGCCCATTCTCCACAGCCCCCTGGATACAGGTGCAGGCCTATTGATGACCAATATTTATTTACGTGGTCTCAGATTTTAGATGTCAAAAATGTTTTATTAGGTTTTACAGAATACAACATAATAAAAGTCAAGTGGGTAGCACCATCCATATAAACGAGAAAAGCATAGACCTTCCCAAGTATATACGGCAAGTCATTATGGAGTAATATAAAACAAATAATAGAAAACAAAACAATCCATTCTACCACAGGTATTAAAAACAAGACCCTTGTTTTTGTAGAGTTAAATACCAACATTGATCCGTGGTCTCAGATTTTACATGCAACACCACCAGCACTGACAATGGAGATTATGGTTCAATGGGATTATTTACTAAAGGCAAATAGGCTGCTCACCTTACAAAGGAATTTGCACTTTGCAGGGGAAGTTTCCCTTAGCTTGCTGAATGTAGTTTATTTACACTTTGTAAAGAACACCCAATCAAGTGCAACGAAAATGTAAAAAAAAAGAAAGTATATTTGCTTGTACAGGATTGAGTGTGGAAGTCAGCAGAGCTTCACCTGATTCACTAAACTAAGTGGCAATGTCCCCTAGAAAATGTAAATTCTCTTGCAAAGTAACTAGCCTATTTGCCTTTAGTAAATCAAACCCCACTGTGTTATTTTCCTCAGTTTCTGCAGTTTTCAGGTTTACTGGAAAGTAAAAAACATTGGTGGACAGAACAGGAGCAAAAGGTGCCTATTGAAAACAATCAGAATTTATATTTTATTCTTTGGGGAAAAGAACATAATTCAAGCAACAGCTCCACTTTTGTTCCAGATTTCATTGACGTTGCAAATTTATATCCCTTGCTCTCGCTTATTAATGAAACTTCTTCTTTTTTTTTTTTATTATTGCCAGAATATCTATAAATGCAGATATCTATTAATATTGTGCAGTGTCTGGTCAGAGCTTCTGGCTTGCACTGACATTTACCTAGAGCGCTTTCCAAAGGGTATCCAGTAGAGGAAAGAACCTGCTCATTCCCACAAAGAGGCTTTGATGTAGATAATTGGACAATATGTCTGAATTCCTTCAGCATCTGTCAAAGCCTCCTATGGGTATGTGCAGGTGAGACTGACACAAAGTTCATCTTAACTCCCTACCTTCTGTGTACAGAGAGAAGCTACGCTTATATAAATTTATATATGCAGTACATGTGATCCTTACAAAATTACTAGATCTGCTTAGTTGCTAACCCAAATGTAAGAACTTATGTCATACATTCTGTTCATGGTTCTGAAAGGCTACAGAATTTCTGGAAAAAGAACATCTTTTCCCTGATGTAGGAAAGTGAAGGTTATCAGTACAGACACATGAATGACATGTCATGTAACACTTTATATCAGTTCCACTGAAGAGGTCCTTGCCTGCTAAGGTAAACTATATTCCTAAGTACATAATAAAATTGTGACCTAATATGCTGAATTCTTGGACAATGGACCACACTCCCCACCATTTTCCGCAGTGTCATGGTTAGTACACAAAGGGGTTGACTTACTAAAGGCAAATAGGCTGTTCATGTTGCAAGGGAATTTGCACTTTGCAGGGGATGTGTCCCCTTAGCTTGGTGAATGTGGTGAAATTTCACTTTGCAAAGGACACACAATCATCTGCAAGGAAATTAGAAAAAAAACCTGTATTTTTCCTTGCACATGATTGGCCGATGTCAGGAGAAATTCACCTCATTCACTAAACTAAGGGGAAACATCTTCTGCAGAGTGCAAATTCCCTCTCATAGTGAACAGCCTATTCCGCTTTAGTAAATCAACCCCAAAGACTTTCAGACCGCATTCACACTGAGCGATTTGTAGCGCGATTTCCGCTCACAAATCGCTCAATGTAGCTCGTCCAATGCATTTCAATAGAGCTGTACACATTGCACAGCTCAATGTTGCTTGTAGCTTGTTGCTCGAACATGACCTATTTTTCCAGCGGATTTTGTGCGATTTGGCCCCAATGGGCTTTGATAGACTCTCCAAAAAAAGTGCTATGTAGTGTGACAAAATGTGCACTGTAGCTCAATATTGCTCAGCTCAAAACAGCACTGAAAAAGCTTTTTTTGATGTAGCTCAGTGTGAATGGGGTCTAAAACATTGTAACGTGAAAGTAGATGTACAATTATTCCTGTAGATGGAAGCCATAAAGAGTAGTCAATACGTATGCTGAATTTTTCCTTTCGTATGTTACATTTAGTGGTTTGAACTGGGTAACTATTTATTTGGTGGATGATGATGGAGGTAATAGATAATGGGCGTCATATCAGCACACTTTCTAGAAAATGTTTTCCATGACTGCAAACATGTCAAAAATAGCAGTGCATTTCCTGGTATGTGAGGATACCTAGGCACTCTTTTGCCTGCAACCTCATAGTTGTATATCTGCAGTTTGGGATTAAGGCACTGCTTACTCTGACTGCTATTCTTGTGAGATTTGGCGATGTCACTACTGTGCTGCTCACTGTTTCTTGCTATAAAGTAAAAAGCCTTGCCGCTACCAAGATGGCTGCCACCACACAGAGGCAGATTGCAGAACAAGGAATGGTAAGTCAGTAATAGGGGAAAATAGTTGCAGGGAGACAGGAAATACCAGTGACCAGACCTCTGCCGTTCGCCTGCCTTTTTTTGGACACAGCTTCACTGTAGGTCCTCTTTCATTCAAATGCATGCCTATTTGTAAAGTGATTCTCCCTAACGTACACATGTCATGAAAGAATTGCAGGAGCTGCGTTTTCTGGCCTCCTTCTGAAATTTCTAATTTCCTGACAGTTTTTAGCTTCAATATCCTTTGAGTTCCGGAACATAAATGCTGTAAAAAAAAAAGTAACAAAAAGTGTTGTTATTCCCGATCTCTATACTTGTTCTATGTCCATGACCTTGAAAGAATTGAAGGCAATGCGTCATCATTACAGCCAGGGTACTCATATTTTCAAGAGGAGTGGTCATCAATGGCAGCTTACATAGTTATCTTATTGCAGCTAAATGTAACAGTTTTAACATATCATAACACATGTTACCTGAATTACTATTTCAAGTTATGATCAAAACTTTATATGGCAAAACACACCTTTACTAGAGATCAATTGGCTGAATGTCCTGCACCCATCTCTGAATGCGTTGTTGTTCTGTCAAAGGTATGCTACACATAGATTTGTGGTTATATAAACATAAACAAGTAGGTTAAATTAGGAATGTGATAAAATTCTACTCCATGATGGGGTGAGTAGTCACATTTTTGGACCCGTGAGTAGACCCAAAGTGCGCGGTTATTGGTATCTCATATGGACACCTCCAGGACAAACTGGGAATAGTCCCTGGAGCAATCTCTAAACACTGTATCATACAGCTCAGCGAGAACATCTGGATTCAGATACTGTGATGGAATATTTTTATATGGGTTTATAGACTTTCCTCTAAATGTCAGACTTGAAGATATTAGGGATGTTTATCTTACAAAGCAAAGCGATTTATATCCTGGGTTAATGAGCTACATGGACAAATTCAATGTTAATTCTACAGAGATGTTTCACTCTGTGATGTGACCTGGCTATAGGCACCTGATTTTGTGCATGGTCTTTACATTTTTGAAAATGTAAAAAGAGTTTATGACCCCAAAATTTATTTAAAGTAGGTTGTAAGCTGCCATGGCTGACCTTTCCTGATAATACTGCTTACCAGGCTGTCATTCCAGGTTAAAAGGAGAACTACGAGGTGAGTGATTTTCACTCAACCTCATAGTTCGAGCCGACGTGTGACAATGAGACTGTCACACGTCGGCTCTATAGATTGAGAACGCATAGCGTTGCTTGCTTACTTTCCGATCATCTCCCTGCAGAGAGAGGTGACTGTTAGTCACCACTCCCCGCAGGAATTCCCTCCCTCCCTTCTCCGATTCTCCAGCACTGACTGGAGGAACAGATGGGGAGGGGGTGGGCACAGCTGGCTCTGCCTCTAGCTGTAGCTCGCTATATACTGAGCTTTGGGTCATGGGAGGACGCTAGTATATGTCCTCCCGTGACCTATAAGAGAACTATGGGATAAAAAGGTTACCCCATAGTTATCTTTTAATGCTTTTATGTCCAGCCAAAAAGTTACTTTTTGGTTTTGGATAGAGTGGAGAAGGTCAGGTTTTTACTGTTAAGCTGCCCATACACCTTACAATTATCTGCAGATTTTCTGTGGTCAGTTGGGAAAGGGGCATCTCCACCTGGGCCAATCTGTTGCACTTTTTCCATCTGACCACAGAAAATCTGCAGATAATTGTAAGGTGTATGGGCACCTTTAGAGAGATTTACCATTTCCTCTGCTGCTGACAACATTTTACCAGCCAGGAAGGAAGGGGAACATTTTAACAGCAACACAGACCGAAATACAATTCTTTCTGTTGTAGAATAGGGAAAGGCAAGGACCTCTGTCAGATTCATTTTTTCCGTCTGTTGCAGATATTCCCTAACTTCC